GCCAAATGTCCGAAGTTAGTTTTTTTCAAGTGCTTTAAGACCATTATGACATGACCACAAGGCAACCCAGTTCCTTCCCAATATTTGCATGTACAAGTCTCTTGCCTCAGATCAACTATGCCACCATGTTTGAAATCATGCACTTGATATATTGCATCTGAAACACCAGAAACGGACCATCCTGTCGTACGCTCTTCATTTTTACTAACTACTTTTTCAGCCCACTCGGTTAGCACTGTTGAACGTTTCCCTGTAAAGAATATATATATAATTAAATTATTATTAGAGATAATTAAAGTCTAAATTAATTTCATACCTCCATCGATGCGACGCTTGTTACACCATTCCTGAGAAAGACGACGGAAGAACTCAAGAAGGGGTATTATAGGCATCTTCCTTGCATCTACAGATAAAGCGTTCATGGACTCTGCACTGTTGGAGGTCATGTAATCGTACCGTTTCGACGGGGAATATGCTCTAGTCCATTTAGCACGCGGAATTTCACTTAGATACGCCGCTACTTGCGGCCTAGTAGAAATAAATCTAGACCACAATTCTTCAAAAACATTTCTTTTGTAAGCTTTCACAAGCCTCCAAAACAACACTTTTGTTTTGTCATTTTTCCCAAACTTGTGTACTATGTTTCCTAGTAGATGAAAAGCACACACGCCATGATGAGCTTGAGGGAAGACATTTTCAATACTAACCCGAATTGCATCGGCCCGATCAGTTACAAAAGTCAATTCTTGACAATCACCAACACATTCATACAACTTTTCAAGAAACCATGTCCAAGTAAGACCACTCTCTTTTTTGCATATTCCGTACGCAAGGGGCACTATCTGGTTGTTCCCATCCATAGCTACTGCATGCAATATGGTTCCCTTAAAATCACCCTTCAAATGCGCATCATCCATAATTATAACTTTACGACAAAAACGTTTGAACGCTCGTATCTGCAATATATTAAAATGGAACACATAAACACTCTACAATTTTTTTACAAATAATTATATATTAAATAACAAGTTTTTGTATTTACCGTGCTCCCAATGGCATAAAAACAACACTCGAAACAATCTTCAGAATCTGTTTGTATATACGCTACTGTACCGGGATTATGCCTCTTCAAATTGTGAAAATAGATAGGAAGTTTGGAAAAACATTCTTCAGAGGATCCCAACAACAATTCCATAGCATATTGTTTTGCACGCCAAGCTTGTTTGTAATTTACATTAATTTCCAGCAAAGCATTCAAATCCCTTGATATTTCATTAGGCCTCCAAACCTTGGAACGAGTTTTTCCCATAATCTCATGCAATATAGTACCCATGACTTTTTTATTAGCATGCTTATGATTAGGGTGTATCTGTAATGACGAACATGTGTGCACATTGTTGAAACTCCTGATTTCAAATTCATCAGTGGGACACAATGCGTTTTGCATATAAACGCCAACTACAGTTCTCAATTTCACAATATACCTCATAACGATTTTTGTTAGAATGTTTGGTCTTAAACTGAAACTTTTCTCTGGTAGCTTTAAGACTCAAAGCAAATATTAGTTGTTGTTTGTTATCATACGTTTGACGAACAAACATATCATCATTTGGACCTAAACTATGAAATGGTCCGGGTTCAACAATAGGATCAGGACAATCAGGTATGGGAGGCATACCATAAAATATGTCTGAAGCTTTTTTCCCGTGTGTGAACTCATCTTCTGACCAGCCTTCATTTGACTCTTCACCATCTGACAAAGTTTTGTCACCCAGTCTTCCAAACTCATATAAATTTTCTTCTTCCACTGTATTCACTGCAACAGTTTCTTGTTCTGGACACTCTTCAACATTATCAGATACAATGTTTTCAACATTATCAGATACAATGTTTTCAACATTGTATGGTACAATCTTCTCAACCGCTTCTGTCGGTTCAACCCATCCCTCAAACACCTCCAAATACAAATGCACAATCTCCTTCATTTCAGAAATTACATTTCTGAGTTGATGAACATCTGCTTCGTCTACAATATTTATAACATACCCATAAACCGGGTGTTGAAATGACAATGATATATTACTATGGAACAAATTAGCCTTACTTTTGACCAAATCAAACAATATTCGACGATCAAAGTTTGGCGGAAGCAGTATACCCAAGTTGTTAAACTTAGGTCTAACGTAGGTGTTAACCCCATTACTTATCTGCCAAAAACCCCCGGTACATAGAATAACAAAACTCATCTTTCTTTTGGAAAATAAATTAGTAACACTAGACAAATTTGATCGCAAATGGAGATAAGAAAATGAAAAAACAACATTTGTATCAAAAAATCCGTCAAAAAACGTTCCAACCATTCATTCCGCGGAGTCATTAATCTCTCCGCGGAGCTCCTCGCCACTGGCTCTACGGAGGGATTAAAACCCCAGCCAACCATCCCCTCCGCGGAGGGGCTAATGTCTCCGCAGAGGACCCCGCGGAGCAATTTTGTAAACAATAAAAAATTGTCACTTTATTAGGTTCCGCGGTGGAAACAAAGCTCCGCGGAGGTCCGCAAAGGGCCCTCCGCGGAATGCGTGTCTATAAGTGGAAAAGTCATTTTTTATGACTAAATTTTGAAATTGACCCCCTTTTTTTGTCTATTAGCGGTATTTTCCCCCATATCATTCCTTAGTCCTACATGATAAGGCCAAACGGTATGCCAGTGGCAAGAGTGGCAAGACTACTAGGCTAGAAGGTGTAGTGCATGATATGTTATATTGTCATGTCAGTTTTTTTCTTTTTTGCAGCTATCTTATCGTCATGTCATTTTTACCATAAAAAATTATGACATGTTATTTTGAGGGTGGATCAAATTGGCAGAACTAAAAAAATAAAATAAAAAAAGAAATAGCCTAACCCTCACACTCTCTCTCTTATCTCTTATCTCTCACCTCGACAATCAAATGTGGTTTGATCAACTCGGCATGCCACCGTCGGGGGGGGGGGGGGGGGGGGCGGTGTATGCCATGGACGTTGAGTTGCTGCCGAGGAGAATGCCGAGTCACTCCTCCTGGTCTTATAATCATGGATACTATCCCCACAGTCATGATCGTTTCCCTAATGCTTACCACAACTTGCATTGAGACAATGACATTAAATGGGTATATTTTCAAGGGGTTAATGGCTACATATTCAACATTTTAACTATAAATATAACCATTTTACTAGAATCTATTTCACATCATTTTTTCTTTCTTTACTATACAAACCAAAATACTCACACAAAAAAATTATTATACTCCCTACCATCGAAGAATTTCCACAACCATCAAAATTTCAAACCCAACAAAATTGGGAGGAAAAGGAAGAAACCACTTTAGCTAGTGCTTTGATTTCGGTGTCTGAAAACCTCTTAAAAGGAAGAGAAAGCTTTTGACAATCTATTCGAAACCACTTCCACAACATGTGTTTATCAACATCTAGACGAACTTTTGTCAAAATGGCACGATATGAGATTAAAAATAACTGAATTCAACGACATCTTTGACCTAAAACACACATCCAAAAAGGAGTAACGACTCCGAAATCATCAATGTGACGCTAGAACAATACCAATAATCCCAATTTAACCGTAAACATTTTCCCTATATTAATGTTTATGAGTTGCCTAATTCACCGAAATTATTTTGGTGGGCACATGTAAATGTTGAAGATTGTGATTAAATTTCGTACCAAATAATTTTCATTTTATTTAAATTAATGTAATATTTTTTTTCTATTATGTAATTTTACTTATTATTTAAACTAATGTAATGTTTTAATTTTAATTGAAATTTAATATTTTAATTTCCTTAATTATTATTTTTATTTAAAATAATGATGTGATGTGGTTTGTATGTCAAGTTCAATATGGTATATTTATGATGATAAGATGGTGATGACATGAAAATACTTTTCATATGACCATGTAAGTATACACATGATCAAATAGAAGAAAGTTATACAAAAAAAGACAAATAGGATATACATGTAAGTATACACATGAGCTTAAGATTAGACTTGTTTCTTAAACGAGCTTGAGCTCGAGCTTGTGTTGCTAAGCCCGATTAGGCTCGCGAGCTTAAGTGAGCCTACATATATATAATATAATTTTTTTGAATTTTATTTTTATATATTAAAATAAATAAATATTTAATAAACATTATTTTAAAGAATTAGAATATACCATATAGGAGCTAAGCCAAAGTCGAGCCCAAGCCTATATAATTCTAAATGAATCGATCTCGAGCTTCATCTCATGAGACTTGAAATGATCTGAACTCGGGCTCAAGCCCAAGAAAATATAAATGAGCTAAGCACGAGCCTAATCATACTCAGTCTCAACTTGTTTGTATCCCTAATCACAAGTTATAAAGATAATTTATTTTTGATTATCTTTAATTTCATATCATACGATTACTTTTGTTTTTTTTAGACCAATCAAATGATTTGAAAGAAGATTCATAAGAGAATACCATAAATATCGTCAAATCAATCCCATAAAATAAAGATACGTAAGTTTTGACACATACATCCAAACCCCTCAAAAGACCATTTCACAATATTCCAAATAAAGTTACACGTATGATTAGACCAAGCTTTAATGTTTTATATAAGAAACTTTGATCGATATAGAAAAAATTATGTTTTAAAATATTCTAACTAACAATCGTATAAAACATAAAATTTTGTATATCTTTTATTAAATTAAAAACAAAGTCTCGCCTACAAATCATATTTCTAACACACTTAACCAAAAGTTCGATGGCTATACTTACATGCTGTTTCAAATTATAGAAAGTGAAGTTAATCATCAATTTATGTTATACAATTTTCAGTCAATCACAAAATTTACCAATCATAAACAGGCACAAAATTCACTTTACATAAATTGATAAAAATAAAAATAAAAAACTACATAAACCAATAAAACATTCAACTCATAACTCATCGGGGTTACCAAAACGAAATTCTAACTACAAAGTAGCAGCCATTGATGAATCGCCATAGTAATCGGCGATACCAGAAGCAGCCCATAAACGTTCATTGAACGAATCCTGGAAATCATCAGATATAAACGGCGTCCGGCAAAGCGGGCAAGTTTTCCGATCATGGTCCATCCACCGGCCGAGACAGCACCGGTGGAATACGTGTCTGCAGTTATTTAACACACGGATCTCGTCGTAGGCATCAAACTCATACAAACAGACTACACAGCTCTCCGGCGGGTCTACGAGCTCTGAGAACTTGACGACGGGGAGGAGTTCACGGAGGAGGACGGCGGATAACGAGTGAAATTGAGTTGACGGCTCAGGTTGAGGTTGAGGCGTGTTGGATTCAGATATTGGTTGAAGTAGATCTTCCAGGCCGATAAAGAAGAGAATGGAGGAAGTGAGGCTACGGATGAAAACTAGAAGGATTAAGATATGGAGGATGAGTTTTGGGAGGAAGAGATCTGTGTAACCCACCGGAAAACCCATGATTTGCAAGGTGGCCTTTCTTTTTCTGTGAAATGTGGTTTGAATTTCGAAAATTTCAGGTGGGTGAGATGAAAATTTGATAGAAACTGATCATTCGGATGAGAGACTGACTGTACGTCAGAATTTGGTGAAAACAGTCGATTAGTTTTGATGATGACGACGGTGAATATGGAGGAGAGGGTGGCGTGGAAGTATGGATATATTTGTGGAGGGATAGCGGTACTTAAATACTTGAATGCATATATTATTTTTTTTGTTGCAAAATCTAATATGTGGTTGTTAAAAGAAATTAAAAATTGGGAAATCAAGTAATTTAACAGATATAATATAAATATATATATAAACGAGTATTTTAATAATAAACGAATATTTTAATAATTATTATTATTTTATAATAATAATTATTTTATAATTTTTTTAAAAAAAAATGATCATTTACTCCGAAAGATCGTATTCCAGAGTAGTTTCGTTCATTCCGGAGTTGGATGATTGGTAGGTATCGGGTCCGGAATCTAACAATCGTACGTTCCAGACTAACAAAATGAATTTCGGACTATGTTTTTTGGAATACGATATTCTGGAGTATTTATATTCATTCCGGAGTTGGTGGTGGCTGGTAGGATTCGGGACCGGAATTTGACACTCGTACATTCCGGACTGTAAAAGTGTATCATGGAATGTACAACGATTCTAGAGTGGTAAAAATAGAGAATTTTTGTTCTTTGTTCATCAACAAGCTACATGTAGTATATTTGTGTCTTTGTTCCCTAATATGTCCACAAGCAATTATTGTTTGATGGTTTTCGTAATCTAAAAGAATGAGCATGTATACGATTTTGTTTCTCGAGTGTCAGTTTCTAGTGGAGGCAATGACATCGTATCGATGGATCTATGCAATATGTTGCTCCAGACTACACATGCTTTGGTGTAGATATACACAATGATATCAACTTCATTGGGTTAATCGTGTTGGTTGCTTTCAAGTTCAGGTTACACACTAATCAAATACATCTATCTTTTCAATGTCTTGGATCAAATATAGTTATGCAAATTCTTGACAATAGTGATGTCATATATTTTCTTAGTTTTGTTAGTAGTATGCCTCCTAACACAATACAAATGTTTGTTGTTAATAATGTTATGGAAAGTGGTATTCAACGATTTCCTGGGGAAAATCGTTATGGTGGCAATGGGTTTTCCAGTGCTGGAAGTAACAAATTTGTAATTTATTACCTGTGACAATCAACCATGTTCCTTTTTACAATAGCCCTATATATGGGGTGATTTTAGGTATAAAGGTAAGGCTGATAATGATGCTTCTCCAACAGTTGATGTTGATGAATATGCAAATGATGAGACAAAAACTAATGTTGTTGGTTGATGATGGCAATAGAGAGCCAGTTGAACATTTCCAGAGTTTCATTGAATTTGATGGGGACGATACTGAACATGAAGATGAGGAATCTGATCCCGAAAATCCCGAAAACTACATGAGGAAAAGTTTCCTTATTAATCATCCGATTCTGAAGAAACACAAACCACTCATTGGGGTATACCTAGACCTTTACTATTGCTTGAATTAGGTCAACAAAAACGTAAAGGTGCCACATCCCATAATTATACTTCCTATGTAAAGAAGTATAAACTCTTCAAAAGCATAGAAATTTTATCTTAAATTAGGATTCAAATGTGTTACTGAAGGCTTCTAATATAAAGTGACAAACTCTATAAAAGACATGCATGAAGTTGTCTGCTATGTGGAAAATTGTAAATGGAAGATACGGGCTACAAAAGCTAAAGATATTTATACATTTCAAGTTGTTAAACTATCGGAGAGCCACACTTGCTCAAACACACAACTCCTTCCCCATCATCGACAAGCCAACAAAAAGATATTAGGTCACTTCTTGAAAGACACATTAGCTGACAATACAAATAAAATGTTGTGGGGGAAACAAATACAAAAAATTTTAAATGACCATCTTAGTGTACATATTTCATTATGGCAAGCATGGAGTGGTAAAATGTATGCTCTAAATCTGTTGAGGGGACCCTTGAAGAAAGCTTCGAAAGACTTCCTTTATATTTTTATAATTTGGAGAGGAAGAATCGAAGGACCGTTACACATATAAAGACAGGTTATGACAACAATTTTGAATAAGTTTTCATGGCTATCGGCTACGAAGTAATATTTATTATATAACAAGTTATTTTAATTGTTGTTACACGTCTGTTCGATTTAATGACTAATCTATTAATAATTATTATGTAGGTACAGGCGTTTCAAACATGTTTGCGTCCTATTATTATCATTGATGGAGCACATCTTAAAGGGAAATACTTGGACACGATGTTCCTAGCAGCAAGCATGGGCGACAATAACCAAATACTACCTATTGCATTTGGTTTTGGAAAAATAGAAAGTGGGGATTAGGGTTTGTTTCTGGACGTGAAGGTGGTAAGGGAGGCTGGAGGGAGGACTTAAGGTCCTTTAAATATGGTGAAAACCCTAAAAATTAGGGTTTTCAAGCACAGCCTCAACTCGTCGAGTTGGTCCTCCAACTCGTCGAGTAGGTCCTAAAGTTCACGCGGCCTGATCAGTTTCTACATGACGAGTTGGGGCAGCCAACTCGTCGAGTAGGTCTACAAATATGAATATAAAGATTTAAATTTTTATACCTGGGAGTCGGGATGTTACAAGGCATGGCCTGAATGTAAGAAATTTGATTGATTTCGAAGAACTTGGAAATAATCCCGGGAAAGGGATATTTCAAACCTAAGTCAAAGGGATATCCAGGAAAGCAGACCCCAGACGAAGAAGCTTAATCAGGTTGGAGTTTCGGATCGAAGGGTTTGAAGACAACTTCCTTTGAAAAAGCGCCAACTGTTTTCAACGACTTGATATCATTGTCATTGAAAGAACAGATCTCATCGTAGGATAAGATCCTCTGGTCGATGAAATCATCCCCAGAGGACGCGAGGATGTCCTTGCGAGATACAATCATTTTCTTGCCCATCGTTAGTGGAAAAGAAAAGTAAGGAGAAAAGGAGAGAAATCTACCTTCAAAAGTGATTAAATAAGAGCTTAAAGATGCACGGAGGAGTAGCGCTAATCGATTGCCTCTATTTAAGCTAACGGCTGAAGAAAGAGAAAGATTGATTAGACCGACTATGATGACTCTCGAATGGATAAATCCTATCCGTTAGGGATTAAATTCAAAATTTACCATTCTCTCTCTCTCTCTCTCTCTCTCTCTCTTATTTTAGTTATTCACTTTAAGTTATTCCTTTATTATTATCGAAACTAACTCACTTATTTTCAGGAATAACTTGGGGGCAATTGTTAGGGCTAGGATCCTGAAACCGTTATAGGATCCTCAAGTCTAAGGATCCTCAAAAGCCCATGATCCCGAATATACTCCAGGATCTTGACTAATATTTTTATTATTATTTATAACGAACATATATTCTTTTTTCTTTCTCACATGTGCAGAAATAACTAGTCAAAGTCATATACTCAACGGATAGTCACCACAACTATGCAAAAGACCCGGAGGACTAAGTCAAGCAAACGGATATAAGTAATCTCGGTGGATCCAGGAATTCTTGGAGTTCTAGTTGTTGGGGTTTGACTATATAAAACACTTGTAATCATCACACTACACACGATTTTCTGGCAGAATACTATCACTTTTACTCATACTCATTCCATTTTCTCTGTAATTTTCATTTCGATTAATAAAAACATCAAGGCAGGTGATCATTATCACCTCCCAAGGTTTTATGCCGGAGATCCTAACAAGGATCAAGGGCTTCCCTTGTAAACGATTTGTGTTGCTTTGATTCATTTTACTTATTTGCTTTACATTGAACATCACAGCCTCTCATACGCTTTGGTCCATTTTAGTTCAATTATTTTTGACCAAAAAAGATATCTATATAGATTATGCTAGAGGTTTTCTTTATCCATGTTATCCTAACAAAATGTGTAAAGCTTGAGATTCACTTGTGGATATAAAGCAAACATCTCAATGTTGTGATCATCATTTTAATATGAAACCACAAGGTATGCTTTTATATCAAAATGAATAGAACATGTATGTTTACTAAGAACTAGTGGGAGCATAGTGACATTCCTAATGTTGTATGAGTGAGACATGTTGAATCATGAGAAATTACATTCTGACCATGTCATGCCTTTTCATCTTGACTCAGAATGTGTTTCTAAAATGAAAGACTTAAGAAGGACAAGATACATTCTTGGAATGTAAAATCTATAGAGATAGATAAAATGAATATTAAGAGTTTTATATCTTTATGCATATATGGACAATGTCTTAAAAGGAATCAAGATACAAAATACCTTTGGAGGAATCTTGGTATTGTCACATGGCACTATGTTTGAGCCAGCCTCAAAAGAACCTAACGCATAGGTTTGAACTAGCTGAAATGATTTATATTCGATTTGTTTGGCAAATGAATCCATCATTTATGTCATATTATGCATAAGACCTGGTATATGATCATGCTATGAGCATATCATAATATACCAATTGAATACATGGTTAAGTCACTGGATGACTATAGGAACATTCTAAGATTACTTTAGAAGAACTAAGAGAATATATACCAGACAATTAGTTTAAAATAAAATATTCATGTAAAGAGCTACATAAGATTCTGATTTCTAAGAAAATATAGATAAGTATGAATTATAATTGGATTATGGCTTCGTTATGGGATGAAGAGTAAGTTTAGTTGGAATAAGGTCCAAGCAAAACAAAATGACACAATCTACTACAAAATAAGAATACACTACTTTAGAATTCCACTAGATGAAGGTAGGCAATGGGTTGTAACCAAGTTTCATAGGTACTTGTCAGAGAACTAGTATTGAACTAACCCGCATCAAGATCATCTCATGGTTCGCTATCATGAATGATACTTGATTAAAAGGTACCATCTTTGTATACTTAACACCTGAGATACATAGTAGGACT